CAGTCCATGGTACATTCAGTACTCTTCTCCAGCACCACAGCTCAAAAGCATCCACTCTCCTTCTGTCCTCCCTAGTCATTGTCCAACTCTCTGATGCATGGCAAGCGATTGCAAATAGAGTCATAAAAATAATTTGGACACTTTCCCCTTTTCCCATGTTTTTGAATAGTGAACATGATTCTTTAATATCCAGGTCTTTACAAATTCAGTAGAATACCTCTGTGAATCTTCTAGGCTTAATGCTTTTCACCAGTTTAGAGAATATTTCTCAAGAACTTGAAAAGAAGCAAAAAGAAACATCAATTTCTGAATATGTAAATCAGATCATTGGAACTGACCTTCTACTGAGGAAAACAGAAGAGAGAGGAAAAGTGTGAATATTTGCTTTAATTTACTGGAGAGACATAATCAAGTAGTAATGAATTCCAGAGTCAGTATCTAGATGAAGACTCAATTCCAAAGTGCGCATCCTAGAATTTAAAGGTACCTTTATCCTAGTGAGCTCTCGTGAGGTAGCCTGTAGCAATTAAAAAACCCACCCTGGCAAAGAGGAGAAAGATGGACTGTCTCCTCCCAAGAAAATTTCAATGCAAAAACCATCACAAAGGACAAAGAAGGCAAACAACAAATGCTGGCAAGGTTGTGGAGAAACTGGAACCCTTATTCACTGTTGGAAGGAGTGTAAAATGGTGCAACCACTATGGAAGGCTATATGATGCTTTCTCAAAAAGTTGCAAATAGAAATGCCATTTGACCCAGCAATTCCACTACTGGGAATATACCCCAAAGAAACCATATCTGCCATCCAAACAGATATATTCACACCCATGTTTATCACGGCTTTGTTCACAATAGCAAAGAGCTGGAAAAATCCTAAGTGCCCATCAACAAACGAATGAATAGAGAAACTGTGGTATATTCACACAATGGAATACTGCACTGCATTGAAAAACAAGAAACTCATGAAATATTATTCAAAATGGGTGACCTTGGAGGACATTATGCTGAGTGAAATATCTCAGTCCCATAAGGACAAATACTGCGTAGTGCCACTGTTGTAAAATGGGACTGACATCAGGGTTGGGGTAAGACTGAGAAAAACTGGATAAATTATGTATACTGGACTGAAACAAATAAGAGAGAGAACAGTTTAAAAAGGATATATGATTAGGTATTATTTTCATGACAGGAGTCCAGAACAAAGGCTGCATAATGGAATGGACATGGGGGGAGGGATTGTATAATAATGAAACAATTTTTCTTTTACTTTTCTAAGAGAACAGCGAACCAGGGAGGGGTGGGCAGGGAGAAAGGTGCAACAATGAATGAATGGAAATCCAAAGTCTCTTTAAATTTTCATTAAAATGAATAATAGTAATAATTAAGAGTTTCAATGTAAAAAAAACCAACAAAGGACAAAGAAGGTCACTACATAATGCTTAAAGGGTCAATGGAACAAGAGGACAGAACACTAATAAACATCTATGCATCAAATGAAAAATCTGCAAAATATATAAAACAAACACAAACAAAACTGAAAAAGGAAATAGACAACACTACTATATTAGTTGGAGACTTCAATACAGCACTCTCAAGAAAAGTGAGAACTACCAAAAAGAAACTCAACAAAGAGGCTGAAGAATTAAACACACAATAAACCAAATCAATCTCATAGATATTTATAGGCTAATGCACCCCAAAAACCCACAGTACACTTTCTTCTCCAATGTGCAAGGAATGTTCTCAAGAATAGATCAAATTTTAGGTCATAAGGCAAGCATCAAGAAATTAAAAACCAGAAATAATAAAAAGCATCATTTCAGACCACAATGCCACAAAATTAGAAGTTAATAATAAGAGGGTGAAGGAGAAAAAAAAAACAACTATGACCCATACATTTAAAAGCTGAACAACACCTTGCTTGAATATGAGTGGGTACTAGAAGAATTAAAAAATGAAATTAAAAAGTTTCTTGAAACAAATGACAATGAAACACAACTTACCAAAACCTCTGGGAAATAGACAAAGCAGTAATCAGAGGTCAATTTATAGCAATAAGCAAAGACATCAAGAGGCAGGAAAAAATGACCGCTGACTTTCTAACCCAACAGCTCCAACAAATTGAAAAAGAACAGCAATAAAACCCAACACCCTCTAAAAACCCTGAAATTATAAAATTTAGAACAGAAACAATGGAAATAGAAAACACAAAAAAAATTGAAATCATCAACAAAACTAGGAGTTGGTTCTTTGAAAAGGTCAACAAAATTGGCAAACCACTAGCAAAACTAACAAAGAAAAGAAGGAAAAAAACACACAAAGAATCCAAATAAGAGATGAATCAGGCAACATCACAACAGAACCAACTAAAATAAAAAGGCTAACATTGGAATATTATGAAAAACTATACTCAAACAAATATGAAAACCTAGAGGAAATGGACAAATACTTAGAAATGCATAGGCTACCTAAATAGACACAAACTGAAATTGAACATCTGAAAAAACTCATTATAAAAGAAGAAATTTAAAAGGTAAGAAAACAACTTCCAGCCAAAAAAGCCCTGGACCAGATGGTTTTATAAGTGAATTTTATCAAACATTCAGAGAATTGTCACCAATTCTACATAAACTATTTCAGAGAACAGAAAAAGATGGAATCCTCTTAGACTCATTATATGAAGTAAACATTTTCTTGATACCAAAGCCAGGTAAAGACATAACCAAAATAGAAAACTACAGTCCAATCTCTCATGAACAAAGATGTAAAAATCCTGAATAAAATCCTGGACAATAGACTCCAATGATACATTAAAAAATAATAATTCACCGTGGCCAAGTGGGATTTATAACAGGTATGCAAGGATGGTTCAACATAAGAAAACCAATCAAAGTCATTCATCATTTAAACAAAGCAAAAAACAAGAACCACATGATCCTATCAATTTATGCAGAAAAGGCCTTTGACAAAAATCTAACATCCTTTCCTGATTAAAACACTCAACAAAATAGAATTAGAGGGGAACTTCTTCAACATGATAAAAAAGTATATCTGTAAACCTGAAAGCCAACATTGTTCTCAATGAAGTGAGATTAAAAGCATTCCCTTTAAGAACAGGAACTAGGCAAGGACGCCCACTATCACCTTTCTTATTCAATATGATATTGGAAGTCTTAGTGATAGCAAGAAGACAAGAGAAGGAAATAAGAGGTATCCAAATTGGCAAAGAGGAGGTAAAATTGTCTCTCTATGCAAATGATATGATGATACTTAGAAAACCCTAAAGACTCAGCAAGAAAACCACTGGACATAGTTTACCATTTCAGCAAAGTGGCAGGATACAAGATCAACATACAAAAATCAGTTGGATTTCTCTACAGTGACAAAGAGAATACAAACCTGGAGCTAAGACAAACAATAACCTTCACAATAGCTAATCATAAGATTAAATACTTGGGAGTAAATCTAACCAGAAGCACAAAGGATCTATTAAAAGAAAATCATAAACCATTACTACAAGAAGCTCAAAGAGACCTGGAGAAATGGAAGAATATCCCTTGTTTATGGATAGGAAGACTCAATATTGTGAAA